TCAAAAAGGACAAAATTATAATAATACAGTGGAGATAGGAGACGTTATGTCAATAACCATTCAGATACAAAGATTGGATTTTCCATGAAAAAATCAAAGGTCTTGTATACTCCAAACTAAATGGTTACGAAAAACTCATGTATGTGTTATGTTATGATAGTCACTGACGATATATTGCTATTTGCCACGCCTCTCACTTAAAAATTCGCAATGAAATGTATACACTTTCGCGAGGAGGTCACCACCATTACCTTATTTTCCAAAATTAATCAAATTTATCCTACAAAAAGTTTACAAATGTATGTTCCTTTTCTTATTATTTAGTAAAGTTGTATAATTTTTAATACGTATTTCTCATTGTGCATGTGTTGTTTATAACCTCTTTTCTTCTGTCATCAGCAGCACTCGTTCACCTGACTTCATAAATGCATCATTGTAACATCACATTTTGAAACGAAACGATTTTACTCCGCCAAAGTAAGAGGCATTTTTTAGGGCTAACTTTTAAAAGAAGTGTTGACATTTTTTAAAAAGCAAACTGGTAATTCATAATGGGTGTAAAATTGTTTTCGATTGCAATATAAAAACAACAATATTGTATTGACTTGACATTTTAACGATATAATGATTCATGACGAAACGTAGAAATTTGATAATTAAACAATATAAACATAATACAATAATCTTAACATCTACATAAACATTTTTTTCCTGTAATTTTTTTTTAGTGTTTATCATGAGGATTTGTTTGAAATTCCCGCCTTTTTACCAAAGATATCTGGTATGAATCATATGATTGTAATTATAATGGCCCATTAATTTCTTTAATTACTAATTATTTGGTCATGAAAATGTATTAGAATAATGTTAGTGGTCAACAGGTGTGACATTTGTTAATAAGACATTTGACACGCAAGGACAAACATATCAACAATTAAAAGTAAAACTGCACGTTTGTATTGTGTTTATTGTTAGTTGTTTTTCTGTTTTGTAACGATCTGATGAGTTAGCCCTAATCAACTTATTTTCATAGTTTGTTCATATGTTGTGCTGTTTTACCACTGTCCCAGGTTAGGGGAGGGAAGGGCGTCCGGAAACATGTTCAATCCCGCCACATTCTATATCTGTCTGTTTTAAGTTAGGAGTCTGTAGTACACTTGTTGTCGTTGGTTAATGTCTGTCATTTTTGTTTTTGTAAATTGTTTTGTAATAATCTCAGGTGCTCCGAAAGGGTAAACAGATCCTGCTCCGCATGTGGCACCCGTCGTGTTGCTCATGTTAGTTCAAACTCAGTGATAAGTCAATTCGATAGGTCACATTAGGGGAAAAGGGAACGAGATTGAAGAAACGACAATTAGAACATATATGTTGTCATCTTTGAAACGGATATTCCATAACGTTCAACCAATTCGTGATGGCGTCCATAAAATTAAGAAGGAAACTTTCAACTTCACCACTTGGAACTCTTGGCTTAATAGCCTCTTTGTGAGCAGCAACCCTCTACCAGTTCCTTATGAAGTCAGCCACATATGAATAAAAGAATAAGTGGGCAAGAAGAAGAGCACAGTTTGTTCCCATGGAAATTCCGCGTGTTTGTTGAAAAAAAAATACGTCCTCCAAACGTAACAAATATGTCGTCAATCAAGAAATAAAGTATCTTGATAATGTCAATTTTAGAGAACTTTTTGTTTGAATCAGAGTAATTTTTTACAAAGTAAGATTTACCCCTCCCGAAGACAAGAAATTTAATATTAAAGTATTTTGATAGGATAATTACGATATGTTTATATGCTTTAAAGCACACATGTTTTTAATGCTCATATATCTGTCTGTTTTCATTTAAAAAAATTTTGAAATAATTACATACTTTTCGTGGTCTGTTTTTGGAGACTTACAAAAATTTGATTTGGGCAATGCTCGTATCTTTGTCTGTCGGTCTGTACACATATCTTTGTGGGGCTGACATTGAAGCTTTTAATCCATGAATGTTGAACTATATTTCTTCTGTCTGTTGACACCCATTTAATGTAGGATGTATTCAGTCCAGGTTTAGGAATTTTTTTCAGATGTTCTGACTCCTTGTGTTTTTTCCAACGATACAGGGTTTTTAGGTTACTTTGTTTCTTAACTAATGCTCTTCTGATTTATGTTATCAATTTTAAATTCCAGATTTTTCTAATTGTACCTGACAACATCCATAATATATGATTTTTTTTAATTTTTTTTTTTAACAAAATGAGCTTATAAACTTCAGTTCTGTCGAAGAGATGCTGCTTTTTTAACATGAAATATCCAGTGTGTATTTACTTGCTTAAGATCGATCAAGTAAAACTTTGACTTTGTTAATAGTCCAGATGTGATATTCCGTGAGGTTTTTTACTTTTTTTGACAATTTATTTTAATCAGAATCATGATCTCTGCTATTTTTCAATAAGACTACATAATGGATATGCAGACTGATGGTCTTGTCCTATTTATTTCTGCAACAAAGAGCAGATGATTCCGTTGTGAATCTTTTTGGTAAACAGTAAAGCACTTTCTGAAAATTTTGTCACAATACGCACAGAAATGAAATGCAGTCCTTTCCACGCAGGATTAGTTTGAATTGATTCGCACATGTCTCCTCACATGATCATTTCTCTTGAAAAATGAGACCACAAATCTTTTTTTTTTTTTTTTTTTTTTTTTCTTTGGTTTTGGGCATTAGTTGGAACAGTTAAATATTCACTGTCATCAAAATTCTCGTTTTGTGGTTTTATAATATGCATTTTAAAAGAACAATTAAACTTTCGCATTGGGCCTTGTAACCCGAATAATTCAGTCGTTATATTCCACTGCTCTACGATGGCTACATTAACGCCTGAATGACTTGTCAATAAAAATTCGTCAAATAATCATTCGGAATTAGCTCGGGATTTGCCTATCGCGATAACATTGAGCTATTAGCTGATTGGCTCTCTCTCACAGAGAGCACCAATCGAAATCCTAGATTCGAGACGCGTTTTTATTGTATAAAGAATTCAGGCCCTCGCGAGTGGGAGAGTCGATCACGGGGAGTCACTGAATTATTCGGGTTAAGGGCCTTGAGAAAGTTTTGCGAGAAAATATCCTTAGCGAAAATATCTAAATTTAAAAACAAGAGAAAAATTTATGATATACCTTATTCTATTTCGGCCAATCATAGTGTTGACGTTATGGCATCAGTTGTTATTCTTGTAGCTCCTTTGATAGTTGTGGAGTAGTTCTGTTGATTATATTGATCCAGTGCTGATCTTATTGTCGGGATTCATTCGTATGATGATGAATGTCAGAATGAGAACTAACTGTTTTGATATAATCAGTCTGTATTTGTCATGTTAAATTTCCTTTTGAAATCATTTTCTGATAATTTGTTCAGGAGAACATATACAATTCTTAGTTTTAACGTTGGGTTATTTATTTTTTCGAGTTAATTTTTTTGCAATTATTCTTTTTTTTTAATTATCCAATTCCTTAAGGTGAAACGTCATACCTCGCCCAGCCATGAACTTGAAAGCATATTCTTCGCTAGAGTATCAAGGCTTTCTTGATTGAACAAAAAAACACCATGTCTTAATTTTTATTGAAACCGTCATCGATAAAATATAAAATGATGACATCCAGACAATTGGTCTAAATGTTAACTCAAGTATCCTACTGTCGACACAGTACGTTCTTCTTATCATTAGGTATCGACACTCATTTATCGTTTTAAAGTTGTTCATTGCCTTCTTTCTTGGGTACAATCTGAACGATATAAGGCTTCTGTATGGCTTAGGTTTGTGAAATGCCCGTTTGTATCTGCTTGCTTTTGTCTCCTTATTCTCAAATATTGGCGCTTTGTTTAGAAGCAGTCGTTTGTTTTCAACGTCCATGAGCACATTTGTCATGTTTTTCTTTAATCGATCTATAACGAGGCATTTGATTTTCCTATGGGTTTTATTTCATTTAAGAGCATACGATACAGTGAAAATCTTTCGTTGATTTTTTTTAAGAATTTGAAACAAAGTCCATATGCACTATCGAAATTTTTTTGCAAAAAAACAATATCTTTATGACCTACTTGTAAATGTTTATATTCATTTTAAATTTGCATGTTTCGTGTAAAAAGAATATTTCATCTTTCAATTCTTAAAAATAGACAAAAACATCAAGACTGAATGTGATGAAATGTTTGTAAAATCATAAATTTATGGTAATAAAAAGCCTTAGACAATTTCTGTGCTATTAAAAATGCATACAGAAATATTTTTTTTACCGTTGATTTTATTCTTTCAATTTCGAAATAACATTTTTAAAGTAATACATAGTAGATTGCAAAAGAAATCATTAAGGGCTCGTGTGCTCATTGTGTAGCTTCAAATGAATAGTAAACCTAGTTTTTTTTTAAACTAATGCTAGTGATCAAATTTCCTTTTTATTGCGCAAAATTACGTCGTCGCAGTCTATTCATGACGTACATCAAAAAGATATACGAATTACTATCATACACGAATTAACGAACTAGTGGTAGAAAAATAGACAGTTTTCTTTTGCTCCGTATTCAATGGTTCTTATACACCCTTGGCATTCAAATATTCAGCGTTGGTCTCTGGTGGAGAGTTGTCTCATTGGCAATCATACCACATCTTCTTACCTCTATATTTGAGCGTTTCCGATAACTGTACATAAAGAGAGAAAGACACGTCTGACGCATGGTATTTATAAAGTGGGTTTTCTTTTTCATTTGATGTTTGTGTAAAACCTAAGAAGTGATGTCATTATTGTATGTTTTTTTTTAATTCAAATCACCTCCCTTAATTTATTTTCCGATCCATCAAGTTTTTTTTGCAAAAATATTTTTATCATGCACACTATTATTTTCATCATTGTTACAACCATCAAAAGATATAACGATAAAATTTACAGTTAACAAATTACAGCGTAAATTCATTTTAAAGAGTTTATTGGCCTGGAAATAAACATGTTCGGTATCATTTATCTGTAATCACTCTTGACGCTTGATGACACAGTATTACGTAGATCAATATTTCCCCTACTGATTGATTAAATTCGGTTATTTCTTAATGATTCGGATGGATACTTCAAAACGATCCGCTGCTATATGAACATATTTTGAAATTACCTATCAGATTTTGGAAAACTTCTTGTTTTACTTTTTGACGAAATCCGGAATCCAGGTAAGTAAAACTATCTTAATACATATTAATGATTAAACAGATTTTCATATTTTGTTATTGATGTTTGTGATAAGTTTTATGCTATTTCATTTGGAACACAAAATTACAGCTCGGAAATTTGATGAAAAAAAATAAGAAACGACAGAAAATGATAAATGAAACTGAATATTACGAAATCAAAAAAAACAATAAGCACAACTTTTGTTTTTTTTTTTAACATTGCATGGTTTATATGACACATGTCATTTGCATTGCAAGAATAGTATCTTTTTATAGTGTTCCACGACTCTGTGTATTGTTTGTTTCATGTTTTGGCATGCATCTGTCAGTGAATGTCTTAAGTCATATCTTCATTTGTTATTATTTTTTTTTATTTTGATAATTTGAAATTGATGGCAATCATTGATAGTTTCTTTTATTCAGAAATTACAGATCTTTGAAATTTTCTGATGTTATTAAATACTCATTTAGATTGAAAGCTTAATATGTTTATATATATATATATATTCTATATGCATCTGTCCATTTGTTTAAACTCAACCCTCTTTCTTTATTTCTATTTTCCCTCACGTCACTGGGTTCCTTCGGCACTGAGTATAACCCATATATTTTTATCCTTTTTGATGATATACACGTATATATACGTAGCTCATAACGTAACAGCGTATTCACGCATCCCTGGGTTTTAAATGTTTCGGTTAGGGCGTTCCTGTCAGTTCAAGGTAAATCCAGAAAACATTTTAATTGCACGAAATCTGTATTGTAATTATTTCGTTTACTAGCACTGTGTATATATCGCTGCTGGTGAACTGTTAGTTCCCGGTGGTATCAATAACTAAGGATTCAGTTATCTGGGACTAACATGATTTTTAACATATACCTATCTTAAATAAAAAAAGATATATCATATGACACCTTACGTACAACTTATTCGTTGTGTATATTGTGTCCTTATTACTTTGTTTTCTTGTTTTTTAATGTTCAATTTTTTATCGTTAGACTCATGATGCATTATTCAATTCCCACTAACTTCCAATAATTTTGTATTTTCAATACACATACGATCCCATTTCAAAATGAGTATTAACAAAATAGTACATTAAAGATAATTTTCAGAATCCTTGTAATACGATACATAATTTTTCGTCTCGTTTGATCAATCAGGTATTTAATTTCTAAATCAATTTTGTTGTTTAGTTTTATTTTTGTTTGTTCTTTACCTGTATCATGTTATCATATAGTGATGTCTGTGTCCATACTTGAGCAATAGAACATGAAGAATAAATGTAGTAATCTGTTATTTAAACTTACTTAGTAAGATGCAAAAATATGGAACAGTCACGCAATGTGCACAATATTGATGATATTTTCTCTTTTATATGTTATCATCTTGATTTTGATGTTTAAATACTGTAAAAATTTAACATTATTGATTCGTTATAATGTACCTGTTAGTATTATGTACAGTAAATAAAACCAGTTTCCTAAGGTAAAATATGTATAAATTCAATACGTAACTGAAATTGAAAATGATAACATTAATTTTTCGCCCAGATGCATAGGTGTTGGTATGTTTTATTAATTATACCCTTTTTATTATAACGTTCTTCTGTGTTGACAAGAATTATCATTTATTTGGTCATCACAATAATTAACTGTTTACAAAACATTAATTTTTCGACATATTAAAGATTTTCTACCCGAAGAATAGATTACCTTAGCTGTATTTAGGAAAACCTTTTGGAATTTTTTATCTCCAATGCTCCAACTTCGTACTTTATTTGGCCTTTTTAACTTTTTTATTCAAGCACCACTGATGAATCTTTTGTAGACGAAACGCGCGTCTGTTAACAAAATTGTAATCCTGGTATCTATGTTGAGGTTTACTGACATACATCATGTACATCTCAATTTGTAAAATTCGCATTGGCCATGGCTGTTTTGACATCTTGAAGTTCATAAACGCATGTTTACAATATAATACAGAAAAACTTGATTTCCTCTTGATTTATTCAATATCAGAACCCATTTTAACCGTGTGAGCAGCTGGAGTGAAACTACAAAAACATTAGAAAGTTAGGGAATATCCGCTGTTTTCAGGGATAGCAGTAAAACAAAAGTAAGGTGTACAATAAGAGATGATGTATGTTGGGATTTTAATGTGTAGTTAGACATCCAATAGCAGGATACATTAATGAATTCAAAAGAGACTTCTGCAGATCAGTAATCAATACCAAAACCTGTAAGTCTTCAAAAAGGAGTATGCTGACATAGAAAGATACATTTAAAACACTTGATAGGTTAACTCTTTTGGAAACGAAAATGGTTGCGACGGATTCCTTATTGGGCAAGAATAAAATATATTCTATTATCATTGTACGGATTAAAATGTGCAACTGAATTCTGATAACAGTATAAGTATGCGTCATTTTCTGTAATTCCATGAATCAATCGTATATCTTTGGCTATTTACATAATCATCATTTAGACACACTTAGCTGTACACAGTAATTTCTTAAATTATGGTATATTTTTATCTAATATTCATTGATCTAAGTGCTCCTTATATCTTTTATTTATTTATTTATTGACAATCATTTCAAAACTTGCTATATGAAAGGTTTGCTTCTTTTAACACCATCTCCATATGGGAATATTAATGAAGTCGCGAGTAAGTGTGCAAGATTAAATTAACCATAAAAGTGTGGATCTCGTTAACATGCCTCAAAACGGTAGTATTAGAAATTCGTTCTCTAATTTTTTTCACTATTTTCACATTTCCCAACCGATTGTGAAAAAATTGTTCTCCTCACTAGTAAAATAACTGTTCTGGGCAAATGATTGGTCGAAATTTAATTATAACGTCAAATTTTCTTTGTTTCTTCTAAATTTTCTATTGTGACGTCATGAAAAAAGACGACCATGTCTGATGACGTCACATATAAAGAACACAACATTTTGCAAATCTTTGAAAAAGGAAGGATACAAATCCTTAAAGAAACAGATTCCACCACTATAACTCGTCTATTACGATATTTCTCCACTCTCAACAGTTAGATTTTAATTATTTAAAAAGCTCGGCAAGCCTCACGCTTTAAATATTAAAATATAACTGTCTTGAGTAGAGAAGTATCGTAATAAACTTGTTGCAGTGGTGGAATCTATATGTAATGGATATATAATAATCATATAGACTCACGTAATGCAACGTGGATCTCCCGGGTGGTAAGTCAGATATTTCGGCTTATAGAAACTGATAATATGCTACAAATTGTCAGAAAATGCGCCTTGAAGTGGCAGTCTAAGGGTTTCTGAAAGAATTTTTGCATTGATTTATTAACAACGATCAAAGTGCAGAGATATTACCATATCTCTATGTCCGGGTTTGATGTTTTCTATTGTATCAGTATGCAAAAACAATTTTGTGTACTTTATGTCTCAAAAACTGCTTTTAGCGTTGGATAATATTTCTATTCATTTTTTGTTTATTATGAAAACCGTTTGAAGAGTGTTTTTATCTTTTTGAGTACATTCCATCAACTTTCTGATTCCACCCCGTGGTTGAAACAAATCTAAGGAAAAATATTCCACGTACGAGACAATTCACCGTTTCGTAATATAATGCATTCTGGATAATATTTTCAAAAGCGTACACCAAAACGCCGTGATTGGCTAACAACGTCCCAAACAATTGAAAATGGCATGACGTTGTGTTCATTGTGGAATACGAATAATGATATAACCCATAGCCCTTTAGATTCTGAAACGGTGAATTTTTAAGTTTTGTAACCAATAACACACAGACTTTATTCACATAGAAAATACAAATACATTTTAAATGTGATTTTCAAATAGTGCTCAATATGAATATAAGGAGAGTCAACGAATTTCAATGTAAAGAACCCAACTATGATTTTTATGTATTTTGAATAATTGTTAAAATTCGAAAGGTCTTGATTGTGTATATTTTAAAATCATCTCCAGAATCATCTCCAAATAGTAAAACAATTCTCTAATTGTTAAGTATCATTTGAACTTATTAATATAATCATTTTACCTAATGTATAGTTATATGATTTAGTTTTGATAAAACAATTTTCTGTTCACAGCTGAAAGCCAGTCACCCCTATGGTGTCAAAAAAGATCATGTGCCAGGCTACCATTGTTATTGTTTTCTACTGTTCTCTCTACATATTCTTCTTCAAGAAACCAGTTTACCAACGACATAGAAATGCATTGAATACATTAACATCATTTAGAGGGAAAGTACAGGACCAAAATAAAGATGACAAACAAGTAATTCCAAAGACAAAACCTCTTTTAACTATGTTCACAACATGGGTTTCTGACAAAATGAAGAATATTTGCCGAAATAATACTGTTCAAAATTGGAATCTGTTACATAAAAATGTAATAAGAATTTTATTTACTAATGAGACTGATTTGACTTTAAGAGTGAAGTCTATGGGTTGGAAGGTTCTTCCAGTTCCTAAAGTTGCAAGCACAACTAACGTGCCGGTGTTAAAAGATATGTTTTACTCAAGTTTCAAGGCTGAGGATTCTACATTTTATGCCTATGCTAACGGTGATAATCTGTTCACAGATGACCTCATAAAAACATTGAAAACTATTTTGAAATCAAGCCTAAGTAAATCTGACGATTTGTTGCTTATCGGTAGACGTACAGACGTGCGGAATGTTACAAAGGAAGAAGCAAGAAATCACATGTCCCTGAAATCTGCAGCTTATTATAGAGGTTCTTTACATTCACACTATGCAATCGACTTTTTAATAATAAAAAAATCATTTCCACTTTTAGACCTACCTGACCTTGTTATAGGGAGACCTTATGTAGATTCATTTATTGTTTCGGAGGCAGTTAATCGCGTACCGGGTCACGTGATTGATATAACCCTGACCTCATTGGCTGTACATCAGGTCACGTTACTTGGGAAAAAAGGGATCGACGAAGGTTCAACGCATCCTGATAAAAATTACAATTATGATCTATTGAAATCTAGAAATCCAAATTACTCCAGAGGAAATACAAATTGTGCTCATTTTTATACATACCATATTTTGTTCGATAAAGAAATAGCAATAGCAATTAAAAGAAGGAGGCAGTATTCAGACAAGAGATGTTTCAAATTAAAAAGTTAAATTCCGAAAGAATGTGATAATCAACGCAAAATCATCGCTAACAATAAATATTTAAGGCGAATATTTTCTGTTATCCAGTTATTTCACACATGTATAAGGATCATTTGAATATATTTCGAAACCAATGTTTATGTGACAAAATACTTATTCCAGATCATTCCATAAATGATGCAGTGCAAAGGAACAATAAATAGAATTTATATATTCGAAAGATATCAGACGACATATCATCTTCACATGTTTACAAACTATAAACATGTAAATATTAAAACGTAAATAAGCATTTTCATTTTATATACAGCACTGGGTCGATACCTCTGCTGCTGAACTATCAGTACCCGAGAATATTATTAGCTCAGTAGATAGTACTTCAGTACTGACATGATTTATAACAAACTTTTCTTAAATTGTCCGTTTATATATATATATTTGTTTTTATTTTAAAAGAAACTAAGGTTTCAACTTCCTCAGGCAAAGTTGTCCTTAGATGGATTTGGCTATTTGTATATGTCCTTTTTTATCATATACTCTTCAACTGTTTTGGTTCTAATACATCCCTGGCTTTCAAATATTCGACTTTGAGCGTTCCTGATGAAGGTAAATCCAGAAAATTGCTCAGGACGCATGAAACTTACACTAGTAGCAAGATTTAGGAATGAAACGGTCATTTTGGTCTGATCAAGTCTTAATCGACTGAATTTACCGCAAGTGAAAAACGATAAGATTTTTTCAGACTTTCAGACGTTGTTCCGATCGATAGTGTTCAGTCTGTTATGTCATGTCAAGATAAACAAGACAGATGGTTCTAGCTAGTGTACGATTAGTACTTGATCAGACCACGTTCAGACCAAATCAGATCAAAGGTGAAAAATGCTGTTTAGATTTTGTAAGATCGTGTTCAGTCGTGTTAAGATTTTAGATATTCTGATGCAAAACGGGTGACACTTTCTCTGAGTTTATCAGGGTTGCTCCCCCTTTATGAATAAAATCGGCTAAGCTTGGAAAATGTTCTTTGTGGTCTTTAAATGGGATATTGTTAGTCTATTCCATTAAATAACGTATACAAATTTATATTTTATAATGACTGTTTTTTTTTTTTCGATAGATTTTTTAACATCAAATTAGATGTATAAGGAAAGAATAATTGGTGTAATCGGAAAAACGTGCATGTCATAAAAACCTTGCAATCGTGTTTCTTGCTTTCTACTAATCTTGTATTTATTCATTCAGTCTGTGAAGATATAATGATTAGTAATATATCTCAAAACTGTTCGGAAACACATTTTCGTCTTTGCGATTTGATATGAACTTTAAAAAGGGGCGTGATTTCTATTAAACCATTGATATATATTAATTTTAAATATTTGTCATCATGGTAAATCATCGTTTTAGGAATTGTTTGCATGTGTACTAATTCCAAACAGTATTATCAGACCACCTCGCCCTACCTATAAATAATGTCAAATAATTGTTCTTAGCCAACTATTTGTCAAGGAAAATATATTCATAGTATCGGATTTACTTTTGTTTTAAAATTTGACAGATGTTGTCGAAACGAATAGTTACACATTATCTTCACAATAATAAATAAACATGGCTCAAAGTGCAACACTATGGTTGTTCTATCCATGGAGGTAAAATGGAATCTATAATACTTCAATGTTTTTTTCATACGTAAGGACAAACTGTTTAAAATTGGATATTATTTTTTTTTCAAATAAATGCAACAAAAGTACAGGCATATTTGTAAAACTTATTCAACAGTTTATACTTACCATTAGGTACCTATAAAGTCCGAATTGCATACTTCTCTGACTTTGTTTTACCATTTATTAATTTGAGGTAGAACTAATAAAAGAGTTAATTATATTATAGAAAAATAGAAAATGGCATAAGTCAAAAACGATTGATAAAAAGAAAGTGTACATAATTATAAATCTAGTGTACGGTTTATATTTCTGTTTCGTAGCAGATTTGTCTTTCAGTTTTACTCTTTTGTTTTTAAAACATTGAGACGCTTAGCTTAGTTACATTGGATTTTTCGGAATATATCAAAGAGCTATGAAATAACGTAACAAACTGACGTGTACTAAATATATAGCAGGATTAAAATTTTGTGCGCCGGACGCGTCCAATGAAATATTACTGTACTTTTGATGAAAATTAGACTAACTCACTAGCAATGATATATAGAGGAAAAAATAAAGGCGTTTATTCCGCTTTCTTTACCATACAAGAGGGCTTTCTCAGGAGCCGTGGATTAAATATCAACTGCATATTTTCCAAACGTTCATGTAAATTGATGGCGTCATGTGTTAAAACAGTTAAAACGTTTAAACCCGCTGCATTTGTTTGCACCTGTCCTAAGTCAGGAATCTGATGTTCAGTAGTTGTCGTTTGTTGATGTGGTTCATAAGTGTTTCTCGTTTCACGTTTTTTATATAGATTAGGCCGTTGGTTTTCCCGTTTGAATGGTTTTACACTAGTAATTTTGTAGGCCCTTTATAGCTTACTGTTCGGTGTGAGCCAAGGCTCCGTGTTGAAGACCGTACTGTGACCTATAATGGTTTACTTTTATAAATTTTGACTTGGATGGAGAGTGGCACTCATACCACATCTTCTTATATCTATTTGTCAATCAAATCGGTATATATATATATATATCATTTAATATGGATGACCTAAATTCCTACGTCTATCGGTTCAAGTAGGCTCACCGGAGCCAAATGACATATACCGATTTGCTTGTTCGATAACTCTTTCATATCAAACAAAACGCTGCGGACAGATTATTGAAGATCGAAATATAAAGTGAAAAATGCACATTTTTCGTCATTTTATCGCTATTACTATTACACTATAAATATTAAAATATTTTTTTTTTCACAAATATTCAATTTGTTACATATCTCTGGAAGAATAAATACTTCATATTTTTGAAATTCTGCCCAATTTCGTGTACTTTGCCTTACGCACGGTCGGTCCTATCTTACGCTTTTTTTTTTGTGCGTTTAAATGATAATTATTATTAAAAGTATTTTTACCTTACGGTATTTCAGAGACATTTAAGGTTCTTTAGAGAGCGAGCAACTCTCGCTGGACGAGACATCGGATTTACGACATCTCCATTTCGACCGGACGTGGCTTCGTTTAATTCATCCGCACAGCAAAATGGCCTTTTCAGCTGGTTTACTGTCTGGAGAATTCAAAAGATGACAATATTTCTATACTCAAGTCAACCCTTTGGGTTTGAATAAAAGGAGATAAGGGTTTATATTGATGAGACAACAACCCAACGACACAGTCAAGACATTTTGGAATCAACATGCCGTCTTTAATATAGGGAGATGCCTATACAGAATATCAAGCTAAAAACCGCCCCATGTCTAAATAAAATAAGGAGCTAATTTAATATTATTACCAATGTTTTTTCAACTGATCAGGCGGGGCTTACGTTTTAATTTGCATAAGGACAGTCTATTTGAAGATGTATGTGATAAGGATGATTGCCGTTATAATTATTATTACTGATTTTTAATCAGTGTCACCAAACGGATAAACAAAAGAACTGAGCTTATGATATGGGACGAATAAAATAGATTAAAATTGATAGAATTTATATGTGCTATAGCTTAGTATTTTAAAGGTTCGGCTATTGTATTATTCTTTTTAAAACCTTTAGTCTACTTGTGAGTTAAATATTAATCGAGATTTTTAAAAATTATATATGAAAAATAAAATATTTACACCCAATTATTATTTCCTTAAATATGATCATAATATACAGCTTTCAAAAAAACAAATTTTCGATTTAGGCGTGTATGTTTTACCGCTTCTTAGATTTTCGATTTAAGCACATCTGCTATAGAGTTCGGGTATATCATTCTGTATTACGAATCATGGCCGAGCATAAGAAGATACTTTTCTCTCAGTCAAAAGAAATGGGTTTACAACATGTCAAAGTTTTTCGAGTCGCAGATTCATCAACCGACGGCCACTCCGGTAAAAGTCTTTACAAAAAGAACTGCAGAAGCTACCTTTGTTAGTGAGGCTACCATACGGAAATTTTCCCTGCCCCGTCCCCCAAAAAATGCATTCGGATTAAAAGGAGACGAAAAAGTATATCAACACGTTATAAAATAACGCAACATGCATATTTTGCAACTGCCGTCGTCATAGTCATACTTTCATATCCACAATTTCCAAAATGTGAAATATTTAACATGTTTTTTAACTCCGTTTTACAAGAAAATCAACGGCGTTGTCTCACTTTTTACTTTGCGAATACACATATACATATTTTAACCGGATCAATGACCATAACTGGACACTTCATTGATGAGTTTATCCCAAAACACCTGTCTATAGATGGACTGGTCTATGATAAGGGAACCGGTTAAACTCCGCCCAGTCAAGGGAAATTAATCAAGTAATATCTATCGTTGAAGATATCCCAACAGGCACAAACATATTTTGTGTAGATGAAAAGTTTCACCAACCCTTTTTTTTTATCTCGCTCAGTGGAATTCAAAGAAGGTACATGTAATAAAAATCAGTACAAGAAAATTGCTTCACTATAATAGTAACTGTAGAATAGATGATGATGGTGGATGGTTGCTTAACGTCCAGTGGCAAATTAAATGCATGCATGCTCCGGACGACAACATGTAAATGTTATATGAATATTAACCCTGCTTTGTTCAAAACCGACACGCTGAGTCAGATTTTTAACGCGCTAGTTCACAAGGTTATAGTCCGTAGTAAGACATGTCGCCAAACCGGGCCTACCGGTCTTTGTTTTTACTCCTAAATGACGCTTGCTTAGTGGAGGAACAGCAAATACAAATTTTGATGTCTTTGGTTTGACCAGGTCGGAGTTCCAACCTATGACCTCCCGCACTAGAGTCATACACACTACCACGAGATCTCCGAGGCGGTCGGAAGAATAGAATATCATACCCAAAAAAACTAAAGTGCAATAAACAATACAACTTCATAGAGTTCTTACTGTTACTAAAGCCAGCAAAAAGTATCTAATCTATTGATATCATTAGAAACTTCACTTAATTATCGTTGACCGACTTCAGAGTAGATTCCATGCATCAACGCTCTCTGCACATTAGGAGCTCTTGCAGCAATTCTTTGAGGGATCCGTTTGTGGCCAGCTGTTGCAAGGCTAATTTTCTCTACTTATCCAATATACCCTCATTTTCCAGTGGCATTCCAAGTTTCACGTCCAACCTCACAGTCGACCTTCTTTTTCTGCTATTGCAGAACCAACCTATTGTATTTATAATTAATGTGTTCTTGTCATGAACATACATGAAATATTTGTCACAGGATGTAAAGCAAACAACAATCAAATAACTTCATAAGTTATTCCATTGTAAACAGTATGCACGAAGACAAGATCTTGTACAATGC